CCCCCCCGAACTGTTTCTTATGAGAAGAAACTTGACTACAGTTTTGATCTCAGTACAAATCATTAATGGCTTAAATCAGCTGAAATCCTTTGGGCTTCTGTACATGGTCTGATTACTAAAGATCAGCTATGTGAAATAACTTGCAGTAGGATGAGAGAAGAGTAAACCCTTTAAAAATTGTTGCATGTGATTCTGTAACTTTGGTTTCTTTGTTGCAGAGTTCTGTCTCTTTGAATAGTAACCTTTATCCTTCATTCACCAAAGAAGGTTAGGACAAAGAGAACATTAGTTGTGACTTCATCAGGCTCTGCTTGGCTGTAGAAATTTTTCGTCTTATCTTGCTCTTCTTTCCCCTCATAACAGTAAGAATGTCGATCTTACTGTCAATCATATTTTAATTTATACATTCTCCCTTGAGACCAGCCAAAGAAGAGTCAGCAATTAAAAATCAACAGCAATATTATAAATTTTTATTTCATTTTGTTGTTTGTGTTGGAGACCAATAAAGTCCTTTATTTGTGAGGCTATTCCTTCAAGTTGTTGGAAACCAGAAGTTAAAACATACACTTCCATAAGGTGAAATTTCCACGGAAAGTGCTTTAGAATCTTCTCTAGAATGGGGTTCTGGGAAAAATTTGTGATGGTGGCAATAGTAGTGTTGTGCAGTAATTAGCATTTTGTTGTCCAAAATTTTGCATAAATATTGGTGTGCATACAGGAAAATTTTAGAAAAATACTGACAGTTTCAAAAGCTGGATATTGATTTTGATTTTGTCTGAACGAAGCTTCAGTTAAGTTGATAGTTGTTGGCTACCAAGCATGGAGAAGCTTCAACAGCTTCTGACTTCTCTCCAGTAGTATTTCTTGTGATCTGAAGTACTTAATTATAAAAAAGATTTCTTTAATCCATGGAATGGCAGTCAGTGTTCTTTCTTTACTTTAAAGACTCTAGTCAACATTGTTACAGAATTACTTGTGGTCCTCTCTCAGTGTAACACTAAGTCTGTTTTGATTACGTCTTTTCTTTAGAGCTGTTCTGGCAAGAGGAGAAAGGTTCAACCTCCCCACGTAAGTGCTTTTAATTTTTATTTTCCTTAAGTTTAGGACGTTCTGAGTGAAAAGTAATCGGAAGTTCTACCAAGCAAATATCTAACTTCTCAGAAATAGCTGCATCAGTATTGGATAGCTTACTGGCAAAGAAAGAGAGGGAAGGAGAATAAATTTTATGGGTGTCACAGTGAAGCACGTCTTCTAAGAGTCTATGCTGGGATAGGTTAGTGTTTTCACCAGTTAGAAGGATGACAGAATGAAATAAATCTGTAATGATGTTAATCAAGCTAGGTGTAACAAGCAATTTGTGAATTCTGGTCATCCTCCTAGTAATATCTTCTGGTTTTCTTTTGTTTTGTGGCTTGGTGTTTGTTGGTTTTTGGTTTTTTTTTTTATTCACTACTTTGGTTTGTGAAGAGACAATAAAAGTAGAAATGGCTGGCTTGGCAGAAGTGTTGCAGAAAGACCTGACTTTATAGCAGATATTAACCCAAGTCGGTAAGACTTGCCATTTTCACAGCAACATCACATAAGGGAATGCATTAACCATGTACCTTAGGCCACAAGAGAGAATTTCTCCTCAGTGGAAGTGAGACTTTAGCTGGAACACTGTCTGCTACTAGCCATCACACTTGGAGACAGATGGACTGGGGAGGATGCTTAGAATGGGATGTGGGCCATCTGAGACTTGAGGAAGCAGACTTGTTCACCTGAGAAAAAAATCCTCCATAGGGTAAAATATTTTTATGAAAAGGATGATGACCTGTTCTTTGTTTGAGAAATAAAAAAAAATTGTCAGGTTAAGCGGGCACAGAGGAGGTTGATGTTGGGCAATAGGAAAAAAACCCTTCAGTTGTAAAGCTGGGTTCTACAAGATCTAGCCTTGTCCAGTGTTTTGACATCAAAGGATTTTTGTTTTTTTGTGAACAGGTTAAAGAAGCATCTAATGGAAATAACATGGATATATTGATCCATGATTAGGTTTGCCAGTTTCTTCTAAGTTTATGTTCTTTTTCTTTGAAGTTTAAGTAGCCAGACTAGATTCAGAGAGTTCTGCAAAAGTATTTCTATTATTCAGTGCAATATGCAGTGACCTCAAGTACCAAGTGCTAGTCCACTTCTCTAGGAATTACAAGATGTAAACGATTGTGGTTTTTATTTTGTTCTTTTAGCAGAACTATTCATTGGCGGAACTTGATGAAAAGATCAATGCTATAAAACAGGCATTACTGAGGAAAACAAAAGAAAGCAAGTCCAAAGAGGCTGAGCGGCTTCTTCGATAAAAAAAAAAAAAGTCTTTTCAGAATCCTGATCACACTTTACACATACCTAAACTGTAGACCTGAGTAGTGTTGGTCGGGGATGACTTCAGCAATGAAAGCGAAGCATGCATATAAGCTCCTTTTGAATGATCTTGAAAGCGTTCTTTCAAAAGAACTAATTTAAAAACAGTCTTATTAATAAAATAGTTACTTTAAAATGAAGAATGTTTTAGGAATAGCATTCTAATAATCCATTCCCTTCTGTTATAAAGGAGGATTGAAGCATTATTCGTATGTGGAAAGTCTTAACCTACATACAAAAAGCTACATTTCACATGTAATTCTTAATGATTGAGTATTCAAAAGGGCTGTCTTTTGAATACTTTTCATGTAAGTAGTTTGCATAGACTTGTGAAATAAAATTAAATACTTCCTCGTAAGTAAACTCTTAGGAGAAAAAAATTACAAAAAAACTTGCAGTATGCATGCTTACTTGCAGTTTTTCCCCATATTTGTCACTGTTTTCACAGCTGTTAGAAATGCAGCAAATGGCATTGCTGTTTGAAAGATGGTTGTGGAAGTCCTGTAAGTGTAAATAGAGACACCTGTTCTTCACTGTAGGAATTCAGACTTCATACCCTGCTAACAAACTTAATATATTCTAAAGACCCTCCAGGGGAGGTTTTGAGGAGCATGCCAGCAGGCACCAGCTTCCCTTCCTTCCGTATGCATGCTTACATGACTTCTGAAGCATGAATGCTGGGTACGCAGTTTCAATTAAAGTCAGACCTTTGGCCACACACTGATGTGTGATTTTTGTTTTGGTTTTGTTGTTGTGTTTTTTTTTCCTAAATAAACAATTTCTTGTTTATACCAGTCCTTTAGTTTATTTGCTGTCTCTGTCTTTATTCCAGTTTAGAAGAAAAGTAACTATTACAGAGGGAGTCTTTTATGTTAACTGTGCTGCTTACAGTGGCCATACTATTGATGTCCCTGTATCAGTCTCTGTGACAGGTGTTATGAACAGTACTGAGTGGACACAATCTTGCACTTGGAAGAACAGTAGGCATTTTCTGTGATTCTGTGTTCTTATCTAGACTAACATTTGTTGTAGCAACTGCACCTAATGCTTCTCTGAAGGTGAGCCAGCAGAGGTGGGAGACAAAGCTGCTTGAGCTCTGGTCCTAGCTCCAGGGAAGAAGTATGATAGTTACCTGTTCAAATGCTTAGTGTCCACCCAGGAAGAGATTAACCCAAGCAGTTGTGACTGCCTCAGATACAACGTTGGATACAAAGAGGTACTTTTGCCGTTGAAGACGACTGTGACCTGCCTGCCTGTGTGGCCATTACTCAGATTGTATACTATGTGTCAGTACAGTATCCTACAGGGACTACTTTTGTTATGCAAAGTGTTACCATTGTTGAAAATCCTAACAGCTCATATTATGAGGGGTATTCTGGTGAAGCAACAGTGAGCTGCAACTTTTACCTCAAGTAGATAAGCTTTACTTGCTGTCTACAAAACAATTTTTTTTTTTGTACTATGCCCCAAGAACCATAGCTCAAAAGAGTACAATATGGATATAATTGTGCCTTCACGCAGTACTACTTGAAAGAGTGGTGGGAAGTGGCTGTTACAACTGGGGACGGGAACGATGACCACAGGAATTTAGCTTTTATAAAGCATTAGCCTCTACTTGTGTGCATCATAATTAAAGTACTGGTGGGACATGCTGGCTAAATCTGCATTTGCACTGTGTAGTTTTCTCTGGAAAATTCTGGAGTAAAGCCCTAGAAGAGATTAACCTGTGGCAGATACCTAGGTCTGAAAGATTTGTCCAGTATTAAATTATTTGTTGTTAGTTTACATTAAAACAAATGCATATATATATATATAAAAAACAAACTTCAGTTGTTATCTGGGGTCAGTTCTTGAAATAAATTGCAAACACTGCTGATTTCCTCGGGGGAAACTGGTTACAAAAAAACTACATTATCAGTTTCAAAGTGGCTTTTTTGTAGTGAATTGCCTGCTGCTTGAAAGATCTTTTGCCATGGGATTCTTCTCCTCTCTCAAGATGGCAGCAACATAGCAGTTAAGGGTTGAAAGCATAATGGAGGTCTATTGTAGCAAGACAATAGCTAAGGAGACAACAGCAGAAGTACCCTGGATGGTAATTTATTAGCCCTTTATATTTTATCAAATAAATGCTACAGATACATTTGAAAAAATGTCAAAGTATTCATCTTGCTTTGTTATTAGACCTTTGCCATTCTTTGATGTCAAGTTGTTAATTTCTTGTACGCTTAATGCCAACGTGCCTGTCCTATAAAAATTCATTGGAAAGATGCTCTCTGCTGCGAGTTGCACATTAGTTGCAGATTTCAGAGGGCTGCCAGGCTGTTGGAAGTTTCCCTTCCCCTGCTGTATGACTCATGCACAGAGGGAGAGGGGAACAGGGTATAGTTCCAGTATTCAAGGCTACTGGTCTTAAAAGTTTATCCCTGCTTGCCTTTTGTCTCTTTGGGCATTACATTCTACAACTAACTCCCACTGTAAGGACTATTTCTGCAGAAAGAGATGAGCTGCCCAGTCCACCACATCTGCATAATACAGGGGATGCAGGATAGACCTCTTACACTACCTGTTTTCCAGAGCTACCGGCTATGCTGTTTTTCTTCTGTACCTGAAACACTACAGTGCTTGCTGATAGGTGGGGCTGCAGTAGCTGAAGAAGTCTGAAAGGTAACCACTAATTAAGCAAAAGCAGAGGAAGCATTTACTGTCATGTTGGCACATCTCAACACCTTGACCAAGAACTTACTGCTGATGTTGGGCTGATAGTACACTCCCTTTCCTCCAAAAGGACACATGGAATTGTTCTTGGGAGGAGAACTTTCTTTGTTATACATCTTCTCCACTTCCAGCTGGAGCTGGCAGTACAACATAACACTAAGGGTACCTTCCCTCATGCAGTGTTTCCCTCTCAGGCTGCTCCTGGCAGCCAGAAGCCTGTCTAACAAGAAGCACTGCTGTGGCTGCTGCTTACTACAGCAACATTTCTCACTTGGCAAAGGCCAAGTTTGAATCTGAACTGGGCAAAGGAGTGGTTTAGATATGCAAATTCAATCCAGAAAAGAATTTACTGAATAGATGAAACTATACAGAAGCATTTTTTTGTAGGTCACTTATGTGATCCAGTTCACCATTCTCCAGCATACATAATCTTAGTAATGTTAATAGTTTGCCTGTGAAAGGACATTAACGCTTTTGTGGAAACACTTGTACTGCCTGTGGCTTGTCTGCAGCATGGTGAGAACTATTGTACAGCAACAAGCATTCTGCCTGGCTGTCAGTCCAGAGCTCTTAAATTTGCTTCTGGTTTTCTTCTAAGATGGTATCTCAGTCCATGAGCAAACACACTGCCATAAAAATGATAAACATAAAGCAGATTATTCATTAAGTTAGTTGCACAAGGAAGTGTGCTGTTTGTTAAAAGTCTACCTCACCTTTGACATGTGGACATTTGAGAGGAGGTCCGAGCACCACTACCCATCCCTGTCCCCCAATCAGTAGCAGAAATCCTATTGACATCAGTCATGCATGAATGCCGTAGCTGGATTCTGGGATTTGTTACTGGAGTCACACAAGAGTAAGAAAAGCAATTCTCTTAGGACAATGTGAACCCCTAACTTGGTAGTAGGTAAAAAACACCTGGATTTGGTTTACACAATTTTATATAGAAGGTATCCCTGTTGAGGAACTCTTATACTGAACATAACTGCAACCCATTGCAGGACGATATATCACAAGGTTCAGATGAAATTCTGTGAGCCTTTCCCACATCTGTCCAATCTATATGTATTAAAGCAATTAGGAATGGCATTGCTTAATTAGCTTACCCAGAACAGGTTTACAATTGTTCTAGGGTACAGCTACTCCATGTTACCAACACCAAGAAGCTTATTGTGCCCTAACCGGCAGGAAAAGAGAGAATGACCATGGTATGTCCTGCTGGAGAGAGACGGCAAGGCATTCCAGGCTGCCAAGGCTCTTACCTGAGCTGCATCTCTTCTGCCCTGATGTTTTCAAGGTGTGTGCTTTGAAGGAGATGTGAACCAAGAACTGAAAGGATGGATTCGTTTCCACTGCAAGAAATCCAGACAGACTTGGATCCCAGCTGCAATACGTAAAATTTCACAGATAAAATGAGACATTCTGTCTTCTTATTTATGCTTGCCTGAAAGCTGATCTAGAGGTCTTTCCAGGTTTTGCCAGAGTCCAACAGCCTGTGTTTCACACTTTACCCTGGTTATTAAGGGCTTCTGTTTACAAGATAAAAGAAGATTATTGTACAGCACTGTAAATTTGACATTAATTGAGGAAGATGTCTAAAAGCATCACTTTTAAGCCAAGAACATTTGTCTCCCTTAGGAATGCCTCACATTGCTGTTTAGCACCTTGGGTGAGAGATGTAGTAAAACATTGGAGCTTGTGTTACTGTGCAGTTCTGCAATGTGTGCATGATCGGTTTCTTTGCTTCAGGCTCCCCTGAGTAGGGAGTGATTCATCTCTAGGAGGCTAATTTCTTACAGTTGAGTGCAGGATTTTAATAAATAGACCCAAAAGTGAAGTGCCCTTTTGAACAGCCCTCCTATCAGCAGGTAATATCAGTAATTTAGGAAACTCAAAGCATTCACCATTCCATCCAGTGTATTGTGATCAGTGCTGGATAATTTATTTATTTTTTGAAATACATCATGAGTTATCTCTTTTGTTTCAATTAAGAGCTTACACCACCACTGAGAAATTTTAACCCCAGAATGCCAAAGTTACATTATTTGAAGGAGGAGTCATCAAAATACTGAATAAAAAATTTTTTTTTGATTGATGAGTTTACAGATCATTTGCACTCGTGATAACAACCAAAACATTTTCTACAGTAACAGATGCTAAACCATCCTTTCCTGAATGAAGACATGGAGAGGGGGGTTTGAAGAGGAAAAAAAAAAGTCTCTAGAAGGATTGCCTTACAGATACCTTTCCCCTTCCCCCATAAAAGCAAGTGTTTCCCCTAAACGTTCCTGTTGAAGACTTGCTGAGTACTTCAGCCTTCTGTAGCCATAGGAATCTCTCTACCCTGATTTCAGCTGTGCTATAACATGAACCCATATAATCCTCTCTCAATTGCTTGCTACCTCCAGGCATGGCAAAAAGTGGATGAAAACTATCTGCAGCCCTGCGGGTTGTGGAGGATCCAGGCAACCTGTCCAAAAGCGTTGGGCTACACATTGTCTTTGCTTAAAACTATCTGCAGCCCTGCGGGTTGCAGAGGATCCAGGCAACCTGTCGAAAAGCGTTGGGCTACACATTGTCTTTGCTGCCAGCACTGCCCTAGCCCAGATAACATGCTCCTATGGCTAGGA